AATTAAAACTACTCAGGACATGAAATCAAAAATATTAGACGAGAAAATTGCTGAACTTTATAACATCAATGTGACATATTGAATTCTAAATACAATTTTCAGAATTATGAAAGTTCAATTTTGTCTGATATTTTGATAGTGGTACCCCAAAAAAGCTTCCTCTCCGATCAAAACTCTATAATTTATGTGATTATTTTACTTATTAAGACTCCCGTATAATAGTCTTTTTCCGTAGAATCGTTTTTGTTTCTCCTGTTGACTGTTAGCCATTCGCCCTGACTACATGCTCAACCCTAAGAAAAGAGCTGGATAATTGCAATATTAAGTAGAAGGTCATTTCATCGAGATCCTAATCAGTGAGACCCTATTATCAAATTTACGCAGGAATAAAATATTAGAAATATCGGACGAGAAAATTGTCCAACCGTATAGCATCAAATCGGCGTATTCGTAACTCTAAATATAACTGTCCTTTATTTAGAAGTTCGATTTTTGGCTGACATTTCAAAATAGTCAAAACGAAAGCAGGGATATTTTGTATCACAACTTTTTTATTCCGATCTCCAAGGCTTCTTCTCTTCTAGTGTTGTTCCGTAAAATTGTTCTTGATGCAGTTTAATGTCTACCGTGCGCACTAACTTCAAGGTCAACCTCTCTATTTTTAGCCTTAGACTATTAAGAGTGCTTGAAGAAACATATTCTCGAAACCTCCATGCCTTTGTCTTGTCAACTATTGCATCATAAAATACTACTTTTATTTACCTATTTTTGATCCTCTCCTAGTTAATTTCATGCAAAGTATGCAATGTTACGTATTGAGTTTTGGCTCTACAATATTAGCATCTCTGTGAAACCCATAAATGGAACGATGAGGGTATTACCAGAGCCATTGTCTGCCCGGAGTTAAACGGCTTCAGCCATGCAGATTAAACTTTTGTTGATCACCTGTTTCCTTTTTTCAGCCTGTACAGCCTCTAACCTGGCAGAAAAGCGGGAAGGTATTGGATCAAAATTATGAGAGCATGATTATTTTTCTCAGACCATTCCTTTTTCCACCCATTCAATGGTGTACCTTTACTAAGAACTCTTTTTTCCTTACCCAGATGCTCCTCTGGGTGAGGATACAGGTCAGTTTAAGAAGCTACTTAGTTACTTTTTGAAGCATGGTTAAAAATATTTTTACCAGAAAAGATAAGAATACCCATAAGAATTATCTTCAATACAGTTCTTACGAACGTGGATAAGAAAGCAACTCTGAGTCCCTTAGTACCGGGATTCTCTCCACTAAATTACCGGTCTGGTTGCATACAAATGAAAACCAGCGTATTCTACTTTGATTTTCACCTTTAATCTTTTTTTTTTTGCCTTCTCTTTTCTTCCTAAATAGCCCAAGAAGTTGAAGATCTGAATGAAGAAGACTTCGAGACTGCCTCTGATAAATTTGACGGAGAGAATGATGAGGAACCGGAGAATGAAAATGAAGCATTTGGCGAGTTAAGAGATGAATAAAACGAAAGGGATGCAGAGGAATTAGAAGAAATGAACGATGAAGACGAAGAGACAGGCAAGAGTTGATCAGTAAATTTAGTTAACAAGAAAACCGAGTTCTGTCTCCGCTTCGGAGATGAGATCCAAGTTATAATGTCAATGGCGAAAGTTTGGAATATTTCTAACCATTGGGAAGAAACTCGTGAAAGAACTGTTTAGGAGTCATGGTAATATTCCGCATTAACCAAGATTTTTTAAAGCAGGTTTTGGTTGAGAACAATTGAAAGTTGGTATTAAATTCATCACGGGAAGGAAAAAAAGTTCAACTCTCGCAAGGTTTTTATTTCAATCGCAAACAAGAATCAAGGAAAAGAATACTGCTCGCTACACTGATTATACTGAAAGGATCCATATAATGTCTGAATTTGCCCTCTCATAGGGATTACCGGGCGATTTACTTCTTTTGGAAACAGAGATCAATTACTTTCGAAAAGATGACATAATTATCAATGAAGTAAACCGTACTTTATAAACACATGTTGTTATTTTTTGTTCCATCAGATGAAGTTTCTGAGGATCCAAGACCGGTGCCAAGAAAGTCAAGCAAGAAATATGGTAAAGCTATCAACATATCTTGATCTTTTATCTTGATCTTACATCTTGATTTATGAGCCATGAAAATATAGCATTTTATAGCTGTAACAGAAGATGGGAAATATGTGTTTGTTCATAAAATCGTACTAGAGAACGGTCAAAAGAAAACATCCGGCGCGCGCTTCAAAATGTTTGAAGGATAATAATTACAAAGCCCCTATTTTACGGGAAAATGTGCTCCTACATTTGTCCTAGAACGTTATCTGTTCTTAGAAGCTCGCAGTTTTCCTCGAGATTCTCTCTCGGAAAGTGTTCGCATCTTGAAACAGATAAATTATCTTGTTAAATTTGGAGAGAAATTTTCATGAGTGTGCCTTTTGTCTGATTATGTGATTTTTATGTTCGATAATCCATCATTTAATATTAATGGTTTAAAGTATTTAATTTTGTAATTATTTTAGGTTATTTGTATGGGAAAGGAAAAGGCTACCGCAAATACTGTAAAGGACTCTACCGGAAAAAAACCTAGGAAAAGTTACAGTAAAGGCTACCGTAAATATCGTGTCCGAAAGGGTTACTACCCCAAAAAAGGAAAGGGATACGGCTACCGCTACGCCTACCGCTACCCATACTACTCCAGAGGTCATTAAAATGGTGAGTCTTTCACAAATATCGATTAAAGATTGCTACAAGCTTGCAATCGCGCAGAAAATTGAAAACATTTTTCAATCAAGAAATGCATGTACTAGTCCTTGTTGAGTTGTCTCTCTACTACTTATAACATGCCATAGATAAGTATGCTTGTCTCAACTGGCCTCATTATTCGCTAAAGTAACTTTAGGAAGGACACTTCCTCATTTTATTTTTTTCTATTTCAGGTTAGGCGAAAATGATTAGACTGGACCAAGACTCACGCAAGATTAAGAAAGTTGCTTTAGAGTCATAGCTGAAAGTGTAGCTTTAAAAGCGTTAAATAATTTTTTTTTTTTTTGGCTCAGTTGACATCCTTGGTCTCTTTGTTTTTTACTTTCATTTTATTCATTTATTTATTTGTCTGCTGCAAACCGCAAGCTACACAATCCACATCGCAATTGACTAAATTCTGACATAGATGATTTGAATTTTTTCATCTTGTCCTAAACGTTTATCAGCACGCTTTATCCCTACTTTCCTGCGGTTTCAACCTTTAGTGGCATTTGTTTGTCTACAACAACCACGTAAAACAATATGAATGAAAGAAAATAAAACCAGTTTTTCAAAGACCCCTAAGGTCATGTATGATTAAACATTGTGATACCTGATCGCAAAATAAGATAAGAAATCTTCAGTCCATACATGTAGGAAATAGGATTGAAACGAAACTGAACAAGACGCTTGAATTGGTTGCGAGGCTGGGGCAATGTAAATTGATTATAGTGATTTTTTCAGGGTTGAATTTAATGCCCTATATATTATGTAAGTACTTTACTCCAAGAAATAAGCTGGAATAAAGCGGCGCCTGAAAAACTAAGATCGTATTAAACATCGTTTTGTATATTCTATGAGTGCATCAAAGGTGTATGGAGCACTACTCTGGCCCTTATTTAACAATAAAATACCGTCACAGCTTTTAACTGTGTTTAAACGATGAGCAATAATAATAACAATAGAATAAAGTGGCAAATTTCCAGAAACATTGTGGTGCTGTGTCTGTGTGGAGTATAACGAGATAATTTGGCTTTATCACCTAAGTTGATTATGTGAATTGGTAACCGTAAAGAGTTTCTAAAACTGTTGTTTCGGGCGTTAGCCCTTCGTCAGAGCGAATAGATGAGTTGTGGGTTTGTGTGTGTGTGTGTGTTAATAAGCAGGGAACATGGGAACAGGGTAATGAGAAAAGACAAATTAGTTGGATTAAGAGCGTTTATGATACCATGGAGATTAGGGGTTTATTTACAGATTATTTTAAGTACACTACCGCATGTATTGGATTTTGATTGTAAAGTATTGGCATTATCCATGAAACGCATAACTGAAGCGTTGAGGCCCCCAAAAAGGCCATTCTCTGCCCGGAGTTACAACCGTTTAAGCCATGCAGATGAAATTTTATTGGATCCCAGTTTTCTTCTTGGAGCCTGTACCGCCCCATTACCTGGCGGAAAAGCAGGAAGTACTTTTGTCACAAATATAGGAGTATGCCCTTTTTTTTTTGCCTTTTTTTTCCTTGTTAATGCATCCTTTTCCCATCAGCACATTGGTCATAATTTTGCTAATACAATAGACAAAGGTCAGTTTAAGTAGCATCTTTATCAATCAAATACATTTAAGGTTTGCTTTAGCTCTTACGTTTAAAACCCAGCAAAAATCATTTTCAGCTCTATCAGAAAAGAAAATTTATAGGATATATTTGAAACAGTTTCATCTCCAACGAGGACATACAGCAATTCTAAGGTCGATTGTAAAGTGGAGCCCCTGCTCTCCAATGACTGGTTGTTCGTCAATCACTTTAATCAACAAAGTGACTGGAAATGACAGGATTATCGTCAAGAACGTCTGATATTCAATTTTCAGATAAAGTTATATCGGAACGTTTGTCACTGAACGACCGATGGATGTTGACGTTGAACTCAATGCTGTACAAATATATTAAAAAAGGATCATTCTATGGTTTCCTTCATACCTTTTCAGAACGTGAAAATCTATTTGGCTTTTCACATGTACTTTGCTATGGATTTGTAGACAGATTTATTGGATTATTGCCCAATTGGGTAAAGTTTATGGACAGTGCAGCAATAAAATGCTTATCAACAAGAGAGCGATATGAACCAAGTCCGTTCACAATATGGAAATCCATATAGACACGTATTCTGGTAACAAATGATATGGTGGTCTAACTTAATTTCAATATATGATTGTAGACAGTTTTAGGAATCTTCCCAATTGTCCACTTGAGGAGGCTCTATGAGGTTTTTGCTCAATGTTGGCGCGCGCGCACCTTATAAAATCTGAAATTTAAAATATTCGAATTCCTTCATTCTGATTGCTCCTTTTTTCGTAACGAGCTCGACCTGCCCTCTCTTTTTCGCGATGGTTAAGAACGGTCCCTACTTCTAAACATTGGTTAAGGCTTTTTTTAAGGT